CCTAGCAGCCGCTCCACCCTGGCTCAGTTTTGTACTCCTTGGGTTTTAATAACTGTGACAAAGTATTCCTCAGATAATCAACTTCTATGGTAGAAGGTTTTATTTTGGCTTGTAGTTTCGGAGACTTTTGTCCACAATCACTTCACCCTGTTGCTTTGTGCCTGTAGTAGCACATGGTGGCCAGGGACACCTGCTCAACTCACAGCAGCCAGAATCAGGGAGGGAAGGGCAGGGGAATGAAGGCAGGCTGGCCTCCTAGTGTCCATTTCAAGAGCACACCTCTAGTGACATAACTCCCCCCACCAAGCCCCATCTCTTAAAGTGTCAGCACCTCCCAAAAGCACCACAGAGCTACAGTGAAGGTTTTGGCACATGGTCCATTTTCAAGGATGCTCACCCAAACTCTTTGCCTGCATCCTTTTCCTTCGACTGTTCCCAGTTATTGTGTTTGTGCGATGGGTTGTTAAATGGCTCCGCCCAGGCTACCCCCTGATAGTTGCTGGCTTCTGACACAAGGGCCAAAGGTCTGGTGGATATTTTTCTAGGTTATTTATTTGCTTTTCTTTGTTTCCTTTCTAAGTGTGGCCAAAGGCCTGAAAAGAAGCAGTTTTGTAAGGATGGGATTTCTTCTTCAGCTTACAGTTAAAATGGGATATGGGTCATCAGAGCAGGGAGGCTTGGTGGCAGGAGCAGGAAGCTACTGGTCACATCATGCCTGTACTCAGGAGTGAACAGAAAGTGAGGCCAGGCTATTCAGCCTTAAAGCCTGTCCTTGGTGACTCACTTCCTCACACAAGCCTTCACTTCCTAAAGGCCCCACAATCTTCCCAGATGACACCTCTAGCCAGAGACCAATTGTTCAAACACATGAGCCTGTGGGGGCATTTCACATGGAAGCCCCAACATGCATATGTTTGTTTATTCTTGAGATTGTCTTTTTTTTAATTTATTTATTAGTTCTAGTTAGGGAACAAGCTTATTTCAATTCCCTTCTCCCTCTCCCTCTTCCTCCCCTCACCCCCAATCCTCCTCCCCCACCCCATCCACCCACCACTCCCCAGGCAGGGTAGGGCCCTCAACAGGGGCTCTGCAAAGTCCACCAAATCTTCCTGTGCTGGTCCTGGGCCCTTCCCCATGTGTCCAGGGCCAGAATGTAACCCTTCACGTGGGATGGGCTCTCAAAGTCCCTTCTTGCACCAGGGAAAAATACTAATCCACCATCAGAGGCTCCCTGGAGTGCAGAGGCCTCCTTATTGACATCCATGTTCAGGGGTCTGGATCAGTCTTGTACTGGCCTCCCCGACAGCATCTGGGGTCCATGTGCTCCCCCTTGTTCAGGTCAACTGTTCCTGTGGGTTTCTCTAACCTGGTACAGACCCCTGAGATTGTTTTTTAAATATAACATCTTTCCTTTCCCTTTCCTTAAAATCCTCTCATATAGCCCTCCCCACTCCCCTTCAGTTTTATGACCTCTTTTTTAATCCATTGTTATTGCATGTGTATGTGCCTGTATGTACATAAATATTCCCAAATAAAAACCTTTTAAGTCCGTATAATGTTACTTGTATGTATGTTTTTCAGGGCTGACCATTTAGCATTGGACAACCAATTGGTGTACTCTTTCTTCCCTGGAGAAGGACACCTCTCCTGCCCCCAGCTTTTTCCCAGTTACCTATAGTTCTTTGTATAGGGTGGAGAGCTCATAGGCTTTTACCCATGCAGTCTGGCATGTTTGTTGGTGTCATCCTTGTTCAGCTCACAATGAAGCAGTTGTGTTGGTGAGACTTTATGGGTGTTGCTTCTGATGCTAAAGGAGAACATGCACATTGTTCTTAGTGCTCACTTGTGAATGTGTTTTTGTTGTTGTTGTTAATACCTTGCTGCTGGTCCCTCAAACACTTGCAGTCCTTACGTTTTAGGTAGGGTTTCTGTTGCCATGCTGAAACACCATGACCACAAGCAAGTTGTGAAAGAAAGGGTTTACTTGGCTTACACTTTTCATATCACTGTTCATCACTGAAGGAAGTCAGGACAGGAACTCAAACAGGACAAGAACCTGGAGGCAGAAGCTGATGCAGAGACCATGAAAGGGAGCTGCTTACTGGCTTACTCTCCATGGCTTGCTCAGCCTGCTTTCTTATCGAACCCAGGACCACCAGCCTAGGAATGGAACCATGTACAATGGGCTGAAACCTCCCCCTGATCACTAATTAAGGATCTAATAGAAGCATTGTCTCAATTGAGGTCCCCTCTTTCTGATGACTCTAGCTTGTGTCAAGATGACATGAAACTAGCCAGCACACCTCAGTTACATCCTTAAACTTTGGACACACTGCTCTCATGAGTTTTCCTCCTATCACCATTGGTTATTACTCAGAAGTCACAACACAAGCCGGGGTTCCTAAACTGCATCTAGAAAGCAAGAGTTCAGAGAGCTAGGATTTTGTGCTGATGGTTTGTCTTCCCCATTCCCAGGCCCAGGTTAGGCCAGGACATAGATGCCAAGCTTGAGTCTAAAATGAGAATGATACCACCCTCATCCTGCAGATGAAAATGGCAGTCACAGGGTTACAGCTCATGACATCAGTAGGTCTTGTGCCCCACACTGTAGCCCATCCTCTCTTTAATCTCTCTTGGGTGTTTAACATTCACACAGGATTACATGCAGAATGTCCACGGCAAAGAGATTGACCTCCTGAGAACCACTGTGAAAGTGCCGGGGAAGAGGCCACCCCGAGCCACGTCGGCCTGTGCACCCATCTCCAGTCCCAAAACCAATGGCCTGTCCAAGGACATGAGCAGTTTACACATCTCACCAAATTCAGGTAAGCTCACACCTCAGGTGCACCTGAGGAGGGAAGTCCTGCTGCAGGTAGATGGTGTAGCCTCAGGCAGGCTTGAAACCGCGTCCCTCAGGCTGTTTCCTCTATGCATTTGTTCTGTGAATGGCCGCAGGCAAGTTAAAGCTGTTTAAAAAAGTGTCGGAGGTGTTCCCAAGCTGGGTGTTGAGAGCAGTTTCGTATGTGGATCAGATAGTTAAGGTTGTTCAGAGGCAGAGGAATCAGTTGAATGCCTGGTAACTATACACACAGTACTGGAAGGAGCTCTGAGCAAGACACACAGACCTGTACATGGCTGAGCTGTCAGTTGCTGTCTTCACTAGCATCTCTCATTCGTTAAAGCAACTTTGTTCTTTATTCTCATTCCAAGAACTTTGGGTTTTTATTTTTGTCTGTTTTATTTTTTCATTCATGATTAGAGAAAGTCTTGTTTTGCAAAAATTTGGTGTATTTGGAAATTCTCAGCCGCCAAGCAGTCACAGCATCTGGCATTATGTTCGTTTTTCCCAAAGCATCTTTGTAGGTGATTGACAACACATTGCGCCATCATGTGATTGCTTCTCAGAGAAGCCAGGTAAAGAGCTGGAGTCATCTCAAGCTCCTCAGGAAGGTTCCTAGTTTCTGCTTACAAAAAGGCCCTTCTCCCACTGGGTCAGGTCTGCTCGGGTTTGCTTTGTGGGTGATGTTAGCATGCGTATCGGCTTCTTAGAAAAATGTCTCTTGCTTCTGAAATGTGGGGTGATTTTAAAGACAGAGTGCTGAACTCCACAGGGCTGTGAATGACACTGGGTGATGAAAGTGGACTGACACAAGAGAGTCTGAATATGGGCTCCCCCAGACACTGCCTTTTGGTATCTTGTGTTGGGCAAATCAATCAACCAAGTCTTTACCATGCTGCCTACCTACAAACAGAAGAGAAGGGCAAAGTCAACACCATTGCAGGCTGTTAGTAATCAAACTAAAAATCGGCACATTCCAGAAAGGTGAGGTTGATGCCTGCTCTGACCCGTTCCCCTTACTCTCAGGATGATGGTGAAGTTTCCATATCAGGTGGAAAGGAAGGATAATGTTGCCCAAGGAAGAAAAATTAGTGAGGAGAAAATTAGTCTCCATAGTTTATTACATGACATCATCTCTTCATTTAGTCATGAATATTTATCATTGGCCAGTTTTGTTCTAAAAGTTATGGGCACTGTGGCTTTGGAGTCTCTGACCTCCAGAATCCCTGTACACTGCAGTCACCTGCCAGCTAACTTGTCATGCTGTATCTGCCCACCACTGAATTCATGGCAGCAAGCATTTGCTTATGTCCCCTTCTAATAAACCTTTATGTGGAGTTTCCCAAAAAGATCCAGAGCATCCGCTCAATAAATGTTAAGGGACTATAATATTTTGAAAGTTATTTTTAAATTGACAAAAAAGTTGCAGGTATTTGTCCTTTATAATTGGTACTCCATATACATTAAGTGACAGACTAAAGTCATTTGCCGACTCTGTAGTGTCCCCACCATCCTGAACCCAGGGACACAGACTATAAAGCCTAGCACTTGTCCTAGAGACTCTGACTCTCCCGTTGGGGAGGAAGACAGGAAGTCCAAGGCTGTGGAATGGCTGAGATCTCTGATGGGAAGAAGAGGCGGGCTTAGGGCAGAGGGAAGTACTCCAGGTAGTGGGAGAAAGGAACCTGCTGGAAACCTACATAAGGACACACTAATGGTGAGTGCAAGAAACAGTGAATAAAATTAAGATTTGGGACCTCTGAGTCTTGAGACTTGAATTCTTGGGTGCTGAATGACATTAGTCCTAAGGAGCTCAAAATGTTCCTCTCCAAGTGGGAAATATCAAAGGTCATGTACACTAGACCTCACACTGGGTCTCCCTAAGGACTGGAGCATTGTGTCCTTACCTCTGGTTTTTTCACAGGAAAAGCCTTGCTGTTGGGCAGACTTGGTTCTGAGTCAGACCTGTTGGCTTGGTCACAGCCCTCAGGTTTCTGACCAGGGATCTTGACAACACTCTACTCCATTAATCTTTGAGGGCACATGGTTGATGTTCTGTGCTCTGTAGTTGGGACAGGGAAGTAGGGGTGTGACTTTAGTCATGATGTCTCAGGGTCACAGTCATACTTGGGCAGTGTGGCCCCCTCAGTTGGCATACAGATGATGTCATTGTCTGCTTCCAGGAAGAGTTGATAAGACCTCTAGAACATACCCCCAGGTGTTTGCCGGTCTAGTTCTTGGGTCCTAAGGCTGGACTAGGGGTCCAGTACTGTCAGAGACAGCTGTGACACCAAAATGTTGTGAAACTTTAATTCTCACTGACGTCTTACACCTGGACATTAATCTAAAATGACATGTTGCTTTTTGCTTAAGAAATCGCCGAATTTGCTGGGTTGAGTTCTTATCCTCTAAATTATACTCTGAAAGTGGGTTCCCTGTGTTTGAAGTTGTTATTCATAAAACTAGGGTGAGGAACTGCAGCATGGGCAACTGGACTGATGCTCTGTTGGTGTGATGGACTTAAGCTAAAAATAGTTATTTGTAATTATTTGCCAAATAACTGAACATGATAATTGAGGAGTCTCTTGACTCTTGGATTCTGCTGTGTGGGTGTTTTCGGGGGCTATGGTAGCTGGGGTGTCTGGTTCCCTTGGTGATTCCTTTGTGATTTGGTTTTCCTCCTCTGAGGTTAACTGTTCGTCTGCTGACCTGGGGTGTGTGCATTCCTGAGTCTCTTCACTCAGCTTACTCTCCAGCAGCCAATAGCATGTATAGTGTGGCTCAGTCGATGAATCCTCTTTCAGCTTCTTGGTGTAGATTTCCAAAATAACCTCTAGAAATATTTTCTGTAAAATACCCACATGGTGCTGCTTTTAACTGCCATTTTCAGAATCAACAGGGTAAAAATACCCCATGCTGTGTGTGTTTAGTTTCTTTCCATCAGTTGTGAATCTGAGCACCTCGTGTGCTTATCGGCCATGTGTATCTCTTGTTGTAGTTACTTTATGTCTTGTTTGCATGTGCTTTAGGATTTCCTTTCTTGTTGATATGGAAAAGTTTTCTATATATTGAGGATATTAGTATTTTAAAATATGTGTAACATTTAAAATAAAATAGTTTACTTTTGCTTTCTGGTCTTACTTACACAGAGTTTTGTTTTGTTTTGTTTTGTTTTTTCTTTTTTCATATGTGTTCAAACCATGGTCCATATGTCTGTTGTTTCTACATTAAGCTGTTCAAAGATTCGTTAGTGGTCTGGAGTCTGTTTGCAACTAATAAACATTTATTTCCAAGTTTTATTATTGTTTTATTAAGTCCTCTCCCTCCCTTTAAAAAAAATATCATTAACTTCTAATCCATTTTGGATTTGTTTGGATCCATTGTATGTGATAGGAAACATAAGCAAATTGTCTATTCAAACAGCCGCCTGCCCTTCCTGTAGAATGGTCTCCATTAATTCTGCGTCTCCTTTGTGTGCAGCTAAAGCATGATTTCTGGTGTTCAGATCAGTTCCATTCATTGTTCCATTCATTGTGGGATATCTAATGCTACAGTTCTACCACATTGTGTTAGGTCAGGATTCAATTCTGAATAGCAGTGTACACCTGAGCATCCCTCCTTTACCTCCAGTTCTTCCAATCTGTTGGTATTTTTTTCTGTTATTTTTCACATAAACTTCCTAACAACTGAAACTCCTCTCCCCCCATACACCACCAGATAATCCCATCTTGATTGGCATTTGTTTATTCATTTCTTTCTTTTGAGACAGGGTCTCATGTAGCCTAGACTAGCCTGGAACTCGTACATAGCTGAGCATGGCCTTGAACTGCCAGTCCTCCTGCCTCTGCCTCTCGGGTGCTGGAAATGTAGGCATTTTTCACCCACTACACCTACTTTATATAGTAACAGTGGGCATAGAACAGTGGGCTTTGCGCATGCTAGGCAGACAAGCTTTCTCCCCACTGAGCGTCATTCCAGGTCCTGGTGTTGGTTTTAATTGCAGGGGATGGGCTGCACTGCTCTTTCTGAATCTCTTTGGTTTCATTTTACACCCTCAGGATGGCCAATGGTTTTCTTCATTCAGCTGCTATAGGGTTTGTTAATCCCTGTCTTCAAAATCTTTGGCTCACTGTGCTGTTCTTTTGGGGGTGGGGGAGTTCTGTTACATGATCTCAGTGGCACCATAGAAGAAAGTGCCTAATTTTTATTTTTTGGACACATCTCATGACTCTGAGACTGTCCCCCCAGTTCCAGTGGCACAATGCCTAGCTCTACTCTGGGCTGATTTAATTTCTACCATCCAGTTTCTGACTTAGGCACATTATCTTTTGTCTTCCATGGTTTATTGGTCTGTATGTGCCTAGGCCTGATAAATGCTATGGAAATGGTGTGAGGGTAGCTGTTCAAGGCTATCCCTCCAGAAACCACCACCTCAGTGGCATAGAAGACTCAGGAGATAAGCACACAGCTAAAATGAATACACCTATCCCTCAGTTCTGAGGGGACAACAGACTTACCCATTGGCTGTTGGCAGGGTTATGGTTTTGTTGATATTTGATTGATTGATTGGTTGTCTGAGATAGTGTATCTCTGTTTAGTCCAGGTTGTCCTGGAACTCACTGTGTAGACCAGGTTGGCATCAAACTCAGAGAGTCAGTCCTCTTGCCTTTGCATCCCACGTGCTGGGATTAAAGTCGTGTACCACCACACCTGGAAAGGGTTTTGTTTCCTTGTGTATTTGAGATATGAGTGTATTATGTTTCTTAGATATAGTGCTAGTCTGTTGTTTACATTTATGCATTTTGAAAATTTTAAATTTAGAGGGTTTTTTCCTATGGAAATGTTGACTGCATGTCATACATTGAAAATGCTGGAAATGTTATCATCTTAATGTCCATTTTTACGATGGCCTTGAGAAAGAAGAATGCATTGTCCTGGTAGCTACCTAGTGAACCCCGTGTACCTCATGTTTCTTGGGTTCCTTGC